CCTATGTTTTAACCTATCAGGGCCAAGGAGTTTCTTTATTGCTTAACCAATGAAATCAACAGATTGATATATGACACTCCCACATCAAAGAACATAGAAAACATATTAAAATATGGTTAGGTCATTTAAATGCAAGATGGAAATGTTGGCAAAAGATAAAGAAATAAGAGCTTATATTTCAGGGATGTCATAGAATGTGAGTCTAGGGGTAAAAGTAGTATTAAAGTCAGACTCAGCAACTTTTTCTGCAAAGATAGTCATAACAGTCTGTCCCTATTTCTCTTATTCCCAGTGTACAGCACAAGGCTGGATTTTTCTTCTTCATGTACCCTGTATCTATTACAGAATCTTGTATTTAATGGACCTTTGGTACATATCATACTTAATGGGGGTCTTTATTAGAAGCCCTCCAACCTAGAGACCATTCTCTTCAAGGAAGAGGGACAATTACATAAGCTTAAAAAAGCTATTGATACAAATTCAAATCCCTCCAACTTTGCAAAACTCAAAGACAAATCAGGAAACAGAGATAAGAGAGGAGAGAGGGCGAGGGAAAGATCAATTGGTGTGCAGTCTCTGATCTTTTCGTCTTCTAAAAACCTAGGGAGGAAGGAAGGAAGGAAGGAAGGAAGGAAGGAAGGAAGGAAGGAAGGAAGGAAGGAAGGAATCTCAATAGCTTTGAAGAAGGGCAATTTTGAACTACAGTTGAAATCATGACAAGAACATTTTTCTCTCTCTATTCTATGATCTGATGTCTGGCCCAAGTCCCCGTGCACTGATTAACAAGAGAAAAAAACATTAGCTGTTCAATCTAGCTTAAATTTAATTCAGTCTGACAGCTTAGGTGTATATATTTATGAATGGATTAAGTTTCTATCCGATAAAATAATGTTTGTTCACTCAGACTCACCCTTTCCCTGCTCCTGTCTTTGGGACTTGGAGAGCTTGGAGAGAATGCAATGCATATGATCTATGCAATCTCCTGGCCCGAAGAGGCGCAAATCTTCCGCAATCCTCTTACGTTGTCAGAGTGCCATCTGCTGGACACTAGGCCACAGCTCTTTCGCCATCTAAGTATCCTGCAGGACACCCCTGCTGAATTGATTAGCATGGTAGCTCCGTCACTACAGAAAGGATTATACTGGCGGCAGGATCCCAAGTTTATTGCTACATCCCCCATTCTACAAATGGGTCGATCTGTCCATACCACTTGTGCTGACTAGTTTTATGTCAACTTGACACAAGCTAGAGTTATCTGAAAGGAAGGAACCTCATCTGAGAAAATGCCTCCATAATATCTTGCTGTATAGCATTCTCTTTATTAGTGATTGATAGGGAAGGACCCAGCCCATAGTGGGTGGGGCCATCCCTGGGCTAGTGATACTGAGTTCTATAAGACAGCAGGCTGAGAAAGCCACCAGAAGCAAGCCAGGAAGCAGCACACACCCCTCCCCCCAGTGCTCCTGACTCCAGGATCCTGCCCTGACTTTCCTCAGTGATAGACTGTTACCTGGAAGGGTAGGCTGAACTAAACCCTTTCCTCTCCATGTTGCTTTGGGTGTTTCATCACAGAAATAGTAACTCTAACTAGGACACCACCATATAGCTGAGTCAGCTCTGTTATGACAGGCCAATAGTAGCATATGCAAAGTCACTTTTTCATGTAACATACTTATAGACATCTTTAAAGATCCTTATTAGTAATATCATACTCAGAGAATAACCTTCATGGTCCAGAGACTACAAAGGGTATAGATATTTTCTTTTATATTTGTAACTAAAATACAATGGTTATAGTGAAAGTAATATGCAAACTCTACATGTGCCATTCAGGGAGTTTGTGACAAGTCACACACTCCAGGACCATCCAGGCCAAGCTGTAGAGCATGACCAGTACCTCCAGGTTCTTATCCCATGCTCTCTTCTAATCACTTGTCCTTTGGAATTTAACACCATAGATCAGATCTGGTTTTAAACAGGCAATTGAATAATACAGTATTGTCCTTTGTACTTGACTTCCTTTACTGTATATTATGTTTGTGTTTAACCATGTTATTATATGAGGTCTGCACTAGTTCATCTGCATTGATACATAATTTTCCATTATATGATCTATATGTTGATGTTTTGTATTGATTTACCAATAATTAGCATTTGGGCTGTTTCCAACCTAGAAAAAATGTCATAGATACTTTAAAAATATTATCCTTCACTAGAGTTGGGCATATGTATAAATTATGCCTAGATCCTTGGACTGGATAATCAATCATAGCTTCTCAGGCAAAGTAGTTCTGTCTGCAGTCCCGTACTCTGTAGGCAGAGGTAGAAGGATTGCCAATTCAATGTCTCGAGTTTGAGACAAATCTGGATTCCAGAGTGAATCTTGGAGCAACCTGGGTTCCAGAGTGGAAAGACCTTGTCTCAAAAGAAACAAACAGAATTTATTATCTTTTCTGGTGTGTCTGTTGGCCAATTTGCAAGGCAGTGAGGTAGCTCAAAAGATAAAGGTGCTTGCCCTGCAAGTCTGATGACCCAGATTCCACGGTGGAAGAACAGAACAGACTCTGGAACTTCGTCCTCCTACATCCACATCCATACCATGACATGTGAGAGCCTGCCTTCAAAACAACACGCATACACACTCTTAATTTTAAAAGGTTATCTGCCTGACTCAACGATTTCTAAAATGGGTCTGTAGGGAATAAAGGAAAAACCCACTTTCCAGTGGTGAAGAAATACATCAGCAAGGGTGAGAGAAAGGATAGAAAGCAAATCAGAGAGTTTACAAACAGTTCAATCGTTGACACTTCGGAATTGGAAATAGACCTAAGAGCCCTGGTTAATAATTTAGACCCAGCAGTGAAAGGTCATGTACCACATAAAGGCACAACAATGAAATATTTGATATTGAGGTATGATGAAAGATAACAATAAGCCTAGCTAAATAAGATATTTTCTTTCAAATGAAAAATGAAAAGATAATTCTTCTAAGTAAAGATAAAATTATCAAGGGACACCAAAGAAATTTTTGTTTTTGTTTTTGTTTTTGTTTTGAGAAAGGGTTTCTCTGTAGTTTTGGAGCCTGTCCTGGAACTCACTCTGTAGACCAGGGTGACCTCGAACTCAGAGATCCACCTGCCTTTACTTCCCAAGTGCTGGGATTAAAGGTGTGTGCCACTACCGCCCAGCTAGCCAAAGAAATTTTAAAATAATGTGTTTTAAAAAAAAAAAAAAACAGTAAGGTTTAAGGGAGAAAGAGAAAAACAGAGCACTGGCTTGATGGTGGAGGCAAGAGAAAGAAGACCACGTGCATGAATCCGCTCCTTTCTGACCTTGAATGACCTTACAGTTTCAGCAACAGGCAGTTCACCTCACTAATAATACCTGGAAATGAAACAGGGAGGGGACAGAACACCATGAAGTGCGAGCCAAATTAGAAACGGCTTGTCAGTGTTTCCAAAGTGAAACACCATGTGAGGGGTTATGGTGATCCCATCAAACACCGGTCCCTCTTTAGCTCTAGGCCACCTCAACTTCATATTGTATATGACCAGAAACTTATTTTTCTAAAACCAAACAAACTTAAATGGAAATCTTTAATTTCCATTAAAAATGGATTGTTTTATTTGTTACTGCTGCCCTCAGTTTTCTAGTAACTCCAACTGCAACACATTCATTTTAAATAACCCCTAATATGATCATTATTTTGTTAGACATTAGAGCTAGACTGCGTTTTCACCCAATTCCTCCCATAAACCTGTTTCCAGAGAGCGGGAAGGATGTTGAGTTAGCATGGCATATGGGAGAGAATACACACAGAGAGAAAATAATTTTGTTAAGTAAAAGCATTTACCTGCCCAGAGACCTGAGGTAGAACCAAATATAACTGGGGGGGGGGGGGGTCGATGACAAGACTCCTAATGATATTCTGCTGTATTCATAGATCAGTGATTAATCTAGTCACCATCACAGAGGCTGCCTCTGGAAACTGATGAGGGCAGATGCAGAGACCCACCGGCAAACATTAGGTAGACAGAGAACCCAGTAGGACTCCATTGGGCCCCTCCCCTTGGAGCTTCTGGAACCCCGGGAGAGCAAGGCCAGAATCAACTAAAGAAGACTCATAGGGGCTCACAGACTGAAGCGGCAATCATGGAGTCAGCATGGGTCTGCTCTAGATCCTCTACATATATGTAAATGACCTGTTGGACTGGTGATCTTTTTTCTTTGGGGGGTGCTGACAGTGAGAGTGGGGGCTGTTCCTGACTCTTGACTGGTCTTGAGATCCTTTTCCTCCTACTGTGTTGCCTCGTCCAGCCTTGACGTGGGTTTGAGGGTTTGAGCCTCATCTTACTGTATCTTCTTGTGAAGTGTTTGATGTTCCTAGGAGAACTTTTGGGGTGGGGGCAATTTGGGGAGGAGAGGATGTTGGGGGACTAGGAAGAGTGGAGGGAGGGGAAACTGTGGTCAGGATGTATTGAATGAGAAAAGAATTAATTTTTTAAAGTTTCAAGTATTTATCCATTACTTTAGCTTTTAGTACTAAATAGCTAACTTAAATTTTTATTTACGTCAATCAAATGTGAAATACCTGCGACTTTCACTAATGAAGACTGGGTTTTAAAGTAACATTCTCAGAAAGCCAGCAAACCAGCAACGCCTCAGGCAAGAGGGGCGCAACCCAGCGGGGCCCCACCCCTCAAACGCAGTTCTCCTCAGATACTCACTTTCCCAGAATGCTTCGCCCGGAACGGCCTATCGGCTGACGCAGCCCCAGAGAAACCCGCCAGAGGGCGCCGAGGTCCCCGGCTCGACACCGAGCCGACCCTGAGGCCCGCCCAGCTCGCCGCCCTAGAATCGTCAGCACGCCTGCTCCTCCCTCGCGCAGACTGCCAGCTAGGCAGACTCAGATGCGCATGCGCAAACACGCCCGCCACGCGCCGAGTTACTGCGCAGGCGTCCTCTGAAAGTTGACTCCGCCCCCTTCGCAGCCGTCTTTTTCCCCTTCCGGCCCCCCCGAGAGGTGGGGCTAAGGTGGCAGCATGAGGCTGTCGCTCGCAGCCGCTATCTCCCACGGCCGTGTCTACCGCCGCTTGGGCCTCGGCCCCGAGTCTCGCATCCACCTGCTGCGGAACTTGCTCACGGGCCTGGTGCGCCACGAACGCATCGAGGCGTCATGGGCACGCGTGGACGAGATGAGGGGCTACGCGGAGAAGGTAAGAGCCGGGTCCAGCCCCAGAGGACCGAGCTGGCCGTGTGTGGGGAGTAGGGCCAGGCTGGCAACCGTCTCCGCGGAAGTGAATCCCGTGGCACCCAACTGAGTACCTTACTCCCGCGCTGCAGATGAAGGCTGCTTAGGGTTGCGGAGTTAGGAGCGTCCTGAATTAGGTTAGCTAGTGGGACGGTTGGACTGAGGTGGGTGACTCGGGTCTTGGACGTGTTGTATCGGTGATGTTTTGTTCTCAACAGCTCATCGACTATGCGAAGCTGGGAGACACCAACGAGCGAGCCATGCGCATGGCTGACTTCTGGCTCACTGTGAGTGCTCCCTGCCTGCTTGCTGCTGGGGAAGGAATCCTTAGAGAACCGGGTGCCGGGCAGATTTAAGCCAAGCTGTTCGCTTATGTACCAGTGTCGTGAGCTACCTTAGACGAATGTCTCCCTTATTTCAACTGGAAAACAATGTGCATTCGCACAACTACCTGTAAATGGTTCTGTGTAACTTGGTAGATGATTGGGTGGTGGGGAAAGCCTGTGAAAATGGTTTGAACCCTACCTACCTCTGGGAATAATTGGAAGTTAGATTGCCTCTGCAGTTGTGACTGTTTCCTTTTGATTAATTTTCCCCATCTAGGAGAAGGACTTGATCCCAAAGCTGTTTAAAGTACTAGCGCCTCGGTTCCAAGGTCAGAATGGGAGCTACACCAGAATGCTGCAGATCCCAAATCGGAAGGAGCAAGATCGGGCCAAGATGGCAGTGATTGAATATAAAGGGAACTGCCTCCCACCCCTGCCTGTGCGAAAGAGAGACAGCAACCTTACTCTCCTAAACCAGCTGCTACTGGGGCTGCAGCAGGACCTGCGCCATAACCGAGAAGCAAGCCTCCACAGCTCCCACACAGTTCAAACACCAAAGACTTAACCGGGGCTGGAGAGTGCACAGCTCTCATAAATGTGTTCACAGACCGTGGAGCTCTTGTGATGTGTGAGAAATGGAAGTAGCTTTGTCAAGTGGAACGGTGGTATGGGGCCCAGACCTTGCTGGTTCATCATCCTCTCTGCACAGTAGATAAATTTTTGATGTGAAAATATGAGATTGATTTTCTTGTCCTAGGATTTCTGGAAAGTGAGAGGCATTCAGATGCTCAGCCACCTAAGATAGTAAATTCACAGCTTGTGTTTCTGAATCTTGGGTCCAGTTTTGCTTTGCCTTTTGGTGGGGAAGGGGAGTCTTGATGTCCAGGCTGCATCTAGCATACAGCAGTCCTGTCCCTGCCTCCCCAGTGCTGGGCCTTCGTGTGCCACCACCACACAGGGCCAGTTGCTTATCTTTTTATTCTTCTGAGACAGGGTTTGCTCTGTGTGGACCTGGCTATCTTGAAACTCATTCTGTAGATCAGATTGGCCTGCCTCTGTGTTGTGATTGCTGGGATTAAAGGCATGTGCCACCAGTGCCTGACTTGGTTTGCTTATCTTAACACTTATTTCAATGGGCCCTGTATCTCTTGATTCCAAACTAGCTCCTGTGATGACTATGGTTGATACCCAGTTTAGAGACCCAGTTTAGGGATTTCTCTTTTTTTGTTTGGGGTATGAGTGCTCTATCTGCGTGCATGCTTCCATTCCAGAAGAGGGCATCAGATATCAGACCCCATTAGAGTTGGTTGTGAGCAACCAGGTGGTTTCTGGGAATTGAACTCAGGACCTCTGGAAGAGCAACCAATGCCCTTAACCACTGAACCATCTCCAGCCTAGCGCCTTTTGTTTGGTTTTTATGCTCTAAGTTATGGTGTATTTTGGTCTTATTCACCACACACACACACCGTCGTTCTGTCTTGTTCCTCTTCACCTAGTCCCCCTTCTGCTTTCATGTGTGTGTGTTCCAGTGAGTTTCATTAGACCTGCTTACAGGAGCATGGGTATCTTACCAATGGCTATTCTGCTGAAGGAAAGTTCCCTCCCTTAGTAGCCTATAGATGTACGGATAGGGGGAAGCCGCCCGAGCCTCTTCCCCCTCATTGACAGTATTTTGACAGCCTACTATGAGAGATTGCTTCCTGATAAGTAGCAGTGAGACCTCTGTAAGGGAAGCTTTAAATAACCTGGTACCCCTAAAACGGAAGGGGTATACCGCAAGCATTGTTTTTTGTCGAGGTCACACGTTCCATTGATGTGTTTCCCTCAACCTCTGAATGGGTCTTGAATGTAGACTGAAATAGGTGCACCGCCACCCTGCACATAGATAGGGGTGTGGGCAGCTGACAGGATGTTGACCTTCAGAGGATAAGTTCCTTCCTCTTGGTGGAGGGTGTGAAGAGGAAGGTGACGGAGAGTGAAGCAGTAGAAAGTTTAAGCCTGCTGGGGATTTCCTGGAAGCTTTTGTTGTCAGAAGTGAACCTCTGTGGGAACCCAGAAAGAGGAAATCCGGTTTCAGAATAGCTGGGTCATGGGAGAAACAGAGCTTGTTTATATCCACTGAGTACTATGGATATAATCCATCCTGGCTGCCATTCTGTAAACGCAGAACTTGACTGGGGAGTCTCGGGAAGATCCTGAAGGTCTCCTGACCTGAGCACTTGGTCAACGACTGAGGTAGAAAGAAGGTGGAGGGTCACTGCTGACGCAGAAGGACGCAGCTCAGTGAGGAGCTGTTCTGGTGCTGTTTCCCTTGGAGCTGCTGAGACTAATTCACCTGGTCCCAGCACAGTTCTCCCTCTTCTGCTTACACCTTTAATGCGCATCCACCCCAGGTAGACTTGTTCTCTGAAAAGCCCTTAAGCCAAATCTTGAAGTTAGCAGCAGGTGAATTGTGACAGGGCTCGCAAACGACTTTCAACCCCCAGAAATATGTTCATTTGGAGCCTTAATATTTCCCTAAACTTTTTATACTTTATTGGGGAGGGGAAATGCATTATCACACTGCAGATGGAGACCAGGCAACATCTTTCCCAAGTCAGTTCTTCCAGCCTGTGGTTCCTAAGTATCAAAGTCAGAACATCACTTAATGGCAACTGCCTTTACCTGCTGAGCAATCTCTGTCCCCTTCACACGTACTTACTAAGCGTCTTCCAGTCCCCAGCATCACCTTACACACTAGAGTATGCAGGCTTGAGAATGTTTGCAATAAATCTGGCCCCAGCCAAATGTGAAGTATCTGCCATCAAGGAGCTCATAATGGTATGGGACACTGAATCCTTAATAATGTGGCCAAAAAAAAAAAAATTGAAAGAGTTTCTATGTTGAGTTCCAGTTCTTTAAGGTAATGTGCCTCACCCACCTAAAAAAAAAAAAAAAAAAAAGTTAACATTTACTAAAACATTAGCACTATGAACCCAACCTGTATTTTTTTTAAGCCGGTAACCATTTCCCTGTATCTTCAGTAGAGTCATGTCCTACTTTATCTCCTTTCACAAGGCTTCCCTCATGGGAAGCCCCAGACATACGGCTGTAGTGATGGGACCCTGATCATTTTAGTGACCTGGTGGGTCTCTGGTAGCACATTTTCCATGGGACAGAACCAGTCATCTGCTTGCTGTTCAACCTACCTGGTGCCTCTGATATCATGCAGATCTTTGGGTGGTTTCCCTGGCAAAGTCTCCTCCCTTCACCTTCTGGTCCCTACCACCCAGGGACTCCACTTTCACCTACAAATCTGTACACAAGTGTTCAGGTGGCTCTGACCACCCCAATCCTAAATTCATTTGTCAAACAGCTACGTCTGCAGTGTTCCTGCCATGCACTGAAACTACCACATTGCATTACAGTTCCCTGTAGTGCTGGGCATTAGGCTGAAGACAACACTGAGAATGGCAGATTAAAAACAAAGTGCTCCCAAACTGTAATCCTAGTTATAATTAATTTTTTGTTGATTATTGCCATTTGAGACTGGAGTTTCTTTTAATTGCTACCAAAAGCAATCTAAAACACCAAGCTTTGTACCACTAAAATAGTGTTCTTACCCCCCCCCCCAAAAAAAATGTTTTACTAGGACTCAGATGAAAAAAAAACATTTGCATCACAACACAGTGGTCAAGAATGTATATAAATTAGATAGGGGCTGAAGAGATGGCTCGGCAGTTAGGAGCACTGACTGCTCTTCCAGAGGACCTGAGTTCAGTTCCCAGTACACACATGGCAGCTCTCAGCCATAAGTTCAGTTCCCGATCTGATACCCTCACACAGATATAAATGAAGGCAAAGCACCAGTGCCCATAGAATAAAAAGATTTCTGTTTGAAAAAGAAAGATAGTTACATATCCCCACAAGACATTATCCTTTACAAATATGTACCACTTTCTAACAGCGCTGCTTCCGGGTTTGGGGCAAAGATTCGGTAGCTAAAGTGCCCACCTTTCAAGCATGAGCCCCAGTTTAGATCACAAACCACAAGAAGCCAGGAAGACAGGTTACTGGGTAAAGGTGCTTGCTGCCAGCCTGATAACCTCAATTTGATCCCTAGAACCCATATAATAGAAAACTGACTCCCACAGCACTACCCACACATGCCTTGGCACACGTACCAGTGATAGAAATTTTTTTGAGCGGGGAAGGCGGGGGGGGGGGGGGGGGGGGTTGGGGGGAGGGGGGGGGGGGGGGGCGGGGGGCAGGGGGGGGGGGGGGGGGGGGGGGGGGGGGGGGGGGGGGGGGGGGGGGGGGGGGAGTGTGGGGGGGGGGGGGGGGGGGGGGGGGGGGGGGCAGTGTTATGGTATACCCTGTTATCCCAGTGCCGGAGGCGCTGAGCACAGACAAGCAGATTGTAGAAGCTCGCTGGCCAGCCAGCCAAGCAAAGCATAAATTCTAGGCTAAGGAAGAAATCCTGTCTCAAAAAATCTGAAGTTGACTTTTGGGCTCCACACACTTGTGCACACAAGCAATGCTGATCCCAGTTCCCTTTTACAAACTAGTAATGAATTACAACCTGCCTTTACTGGACTCAGCCTTTCAGTGCCTTTGCTGGATAAAATCCAGACATTACATTGACAGTTCTGCTACAGCCGGGTCTAGCCACATCTCAACCCCACCATATTCTAATCTGAGGTTTACAAAACAACTGTTCTTTGTGTGGAGATGTAAACTACACTGTTGACTATTTAAAAAGAAAAAAACGTTTCCTTCCTCTCCAGGGACTTAAATGCTGGTGGTGATTGTCAAGAATGTAAACATATGTCTAATTAATTTCCCACACGTTCCATGTTCTAATTTCCTGGAATATTTTTAACCAAGCCACAGACAGAAAACACCTATATGTTTCTGCACTAGCAAACATGGAAATGGTGCTTCTTTTACGATATAGTCTCTGAATTCCTCAAGCAAAGCTCAACATTATTACAGTGGTCCAAACTCTTCACTTGATCTTTTAACCACATGGACCACCACCCATACTGTATATTAGATCTGGAACTGACTTATCCTCAAACTCAAAATTCGGATCCAGGAATAGGTGGAGCTCTGTGGTAATGTGTACTTAGCATTCAAGAAGTCCTGAGTTCAAAGGCCAGAACCAAAAAAAGAAAAAGAAAGAAAAGATTAAGGCCACCCCATTTCTTCTACCCCTTAGGCACTGACAGTCACAGCCTATTCTTTTGCCCTTGTTTTGACTTTTTTGTTTTAATTAAAATAATACACCTCAAAATCCCTGAGCAATACTCTAAAATACAGTTACACATTTCCTGGCATATAGTGATTCCTCCCATGAGAGCAAAGACTTTCCAGAAGTTTCTACATAATTTTACATTGTCCCCCTTTCCCCATTTTTAGAAGTACTAACTGAAAGGAGGACACTGGAGTACAGAGGTAAGAGGGCTAGCATAAGGTCATCTTTTTGTTTGTTCATTTAATGTCATTAGCGTGTGTGAGAGATGTATATGCATGTGCCATGACACACATGTAGAGGTCAGAGGCAACTTTGTGGAGTCAGTTCTTTCCTTCCATCTTTCTGTGGGTTTGGGCGATCAAACTCAAGGTGTCAGACTGATGGTGAGTGATGATACTGTTGCTGAGACAAGAGCTCTCTATGTAGCCCAGGCTAGCCCCCAGAGTGAATGCTGAGATTATATATGTACTTCCCCACACCCAGCTAGATTAGTGATGTTTAACACTTTTTTTATATGCTTCTTGGCTATTTGCTTGTCCTTGAAATGACTTCTGCTCTTGTTTTAGTCAAGCTATTTTGTTTTGTTATGTGAGGTCCCTTAATTTTAAAATTTAGTCCCTTATCAGGTACACGGATGGCGAATATCCTCTGCCTCCAGTAGGCTACCTTTCCATGTTGTGATTGCTCTTTTTATATTTAGAAACCTTTTGGTTCAATATCATCCAGTTGACTTATTTTTTTCTATTCTTTGATGTTTTGGGCAAAATTTATTAGCAAGGTCAATATGGAGAAGTTTATCCTTGTGTTTTCTTCTAGGGCCCTCGTCCTTCTGGGACTTTCATTTACCTTTAATACATTTTCTGCTA